CGCAAACAAAGACGGCTGTAAAGCGTTGTAACAATATTATATTATTTATTATTATCTCTCACTTCGACGCATTCGATTTAGGTAAAATTCGTCTGCTTTAGTCTTCAATACTGTAAATATCGTTTAATTTGTGTATTTACACCAAAATATGTAAGTTTTTGACCGTACACTATGGAACTACCAATATTATATCGCTGTGTGTTTCAGAAAGAATATATTATAATTCTACATGTCAACGAACCAATTGAGGTATTAATCTACTTTGCTTTCAGCTATGTCAAGAAATGCATATTTATTGTAGAATGTATGAGGATGGTAATCATTGGCAAAATTTCATCTTTTTCCCTTTCAATAATAAATTTAAACAATCGTTATATAGTATTATTGTTCCCCAACAATTACCTACCTCACACAAAAATCTACACATGCTCTCAAACACAATTTTGAACGATCAAAATTTATACAAATTTCGAATAATTTCATGCTAAAAAGGTATATGCTAATAACCTAGGTTAAGAAACACAGAGATTCTCAAATAAATGTATTTAAAATAATGTTTTTATATAAAAAACCTAGGCATTTGTACGTAACGTATAGAAACATAATTGGTGGTGGTGGTGTCTTGTCACTCCTTGGAAAGGCGGAGTGCCATTGCCCTGTTAGTCAGCCACATTTCAGAGTTCCCTGTTCACGGTTACCGTAGCGGCTCGGGGCTCACGATAAACCCAAATGGTACAATAACTTATATAATGGTACCAGCACAAATAAATTTTCTATGCTTCCGCAAGTCATTTTGAACATTCTGTATAAGAATATTGAAGAAGAAAATACGGTAGATAAATGTTGAAAAATACACCCTACCACCAAAATGAGCATTTCCTATTGCACACATTAAGTACTAACTTTCTTAAAATATATTTACTCATTTATTATAAGGCAATACCGCGCCATCTATATATAATAAATGAAATCATCAAAACAAGAATGTTTAGTTTACACATGAAACAAACTTCTGTCCTTACTTCGAGGATAAAATATTTAATCTACCAGACCGCTAGTGGTCTGGCAAAACCGCTGTGAAGGTTCACCACTGATGAACCAAGCCCTCCCAATATTTTTACATTGAGGTAAGGACAATAGTAGTTTTTTTTTGTGTGCGTGTAGACAAGTGTGTGCGTGTGTGTGGTGTCGCGCTGAGCCACGAAACAACTCTATAATACTTGAACAAATATTCTTTATTGCCAAGTTAAAGCTACAATAGACATCTAAAGCAACAAGACTACTATATTCCTAAAATTGGATTGGACTCCTCATCTTCATCCATACGTCCTATTTATAGCACAAATAAGTTAAAACTATGTAAATTGTGCTACAACAAAGAACAAACATGCAAATAGTAAATATGCAAAGACACACACGCACACACAAAAAAAAAAGAACAGTCGTGCTTTAAATATTTCATTTATTATATTTACTCATTATCGATTTACTATATATTTAAGGAAGATGCTTTTTTTTTATCAGCAGTGCTCTTTTGAGCAGTCAAAATATACCTTTTTTTCATCCGTTACTTCTTTCCTACGTTTTCCTCATTTGTATTTATAAATGTGAACAACGCAAATTCTGGAAGATTTGTCCTAAAATACCTTTTCCCTCATTTATTAAGGAAGCCTCTATGTGACCATCACGGCAGGTCGTTGAGGTACAGTCTGCACCACGTTAGCCAGGGTAAACAGCCTGAAACACAAATGTGGTTGCATTATTTTGATTTATCAATAATGGTGTCAGCCAATATGATGGAATAATGATAAATTGATGTTTGTTGTTGATGATGTCTATCAAACCGAATTCGACTTTTGGTGACTATATGGACAAATATTATTCAATTTGATCTGTTAGTGAACATTACTTCAAGATCATGTTGATTAGATATTTGGTCCATATACAAGGTTGTCCTAAAAGTTCGTAAACACTTACAAAAAATTGAAATACCAATATTGTTCGCCTTTATGTATAATGTCTTTGTATTATGTATAAAGTAATTGTATTATGTATTATTATGTATTCGCCGTAATAATATTATACGCCAAGTAATAAGAAAAACAACGCTTTAAGAAAAATACGAACTTTTGGGACAACCTTATAGTTTTTTCAGCAGTGCTTGATACAGAAGTAGTTTGTCAGTGCCTTCTTTGGCTCTTAATTTGGCTCTTCTGCCTTTTGGGGCGATTTCTTCCCCCAAAATAAAAGAGAAAGTTCGTATTCATTACAAGAATAAAGTCAAAAGCCTATCCCGGCTTTCATGCAGTCCCCGTTTGTGTTGGCCATCCGTATTTGCCTGCCTTCTACCGAGGCTGTATTCACACTAGGACGTACAAATAGGACTTTACCAATCATTGGGATTGAGACCAAATGCCATTTCTCAAAATCCTTAAGTACTTTTGGAAGATCAATTATCGTTTAGAATATATTTATTCCAATAGAGAGGTTGTGTTTGAAACATCTTCATTACATCGTTTATATAAGGTTAAATATAGAATAAATATATAAAAATATATATAAAATAAGATTTGAAAAAGGATAAATATAGATAAATAAATTTATGAGATATAAAATTGATAAGAGAGAGATGGCATTTTGTCATCAGTAACCATCATATGAATGGTCAGTATTTGTATTTTTTTATTATCCCTAGTACACGTGGTACAGGCCATGATAATCATGGTGGGGAGAAGTAGGCGACTGCTTTTACTGTAAGTGCACCATATGTCTACATATGTGAAAAGCAGTTCGACTTTTGCACTTACAAATGTGCCAGAGTCCCGTTTTGTTTACTTGCACTCGCTGGTGGGGTTGGACTTTTGAAAGAATCGGGGGCCATTGGATCATTTTTTAAAATATTTGTATTTAAAAAATCTTAGACTAATATAAATACAGGAAAATCATCAATAAGAACGTGTAAAAAATAATATGATGTGACACCTTTTTATTTAGTAAATATCAACGTTATACTTCTGGTATCATGACATCCCTATATAGTTAGCTATAAAGTATTCAGTATTTCCCATCTATCCCCACCGCTATAAAGTAAAGAGCGTTGAATATTAAAACTATCAGTAATGGTTACATTTTATAGTTTACAGAATCGTTATTGCTTCTAATAAGGAGACGGGGGGAGGTTGAATAATAAAATTCAACAAAGTAAAAATAATACAACCAACCCACCTTTCTATTGTACGCAATTCCAAAAATCCAATTCTTCTTGCCATGCCAATATCTAACGCTATAATTTGCATTTCCAAACTTTATGGTCCAGAAAGGGATTTAGGGAAAGTAAGCATTAAATAGAAGGGGAGAAAAAAATCAAGTTCCGCCAAATCGCCATTCTTATGACGTTGGCGTTACTTTCTCCATGGAGAGAAATGGTATTAAATGCATTCTCATAGAGGTGCTTCCATATTCCGAGCTCCTGGCATAAAAAGGTGCACTCCCATCCATCAAGCTCCGGGTCTAGGCAAGGTTGATAAAGTGGAAAATAATTGCAGCCCCCCCTCGCTAACTTTTTTTTTTTTTTAGCCATAAATGTGTGTGCGTCTATATATATATATATTGATTGATTTGTTCTTTTCTTTCTTCTCTCTCTGTCTCTATGTCTGATCCATCATAAATTTCCTCTCTTTCAATAGACTACTTTCTTTCCAACTTTTACGATAAGAAGCTGGGCTTTTAATTAGAACTTGGGGTGTTTTGTTAAAATACTGATTGCTTAGAATTAATATAGCGTTAAAGGGTTTTTTAAAGAATAGTTTCAAAATCTCCATTTTTAAATAATGATAGAGATTGAGATTGAATATACTTACATTAATCGTATATATAATATTATATAAAATGAAAAGAATCAAAAGCACGAATGTTTATTTTATACACAATACAAACTTCTACTTCTTGATAACCAATTCTGAGATTCCACCCTTCAGTGCTGCGTATATAAGTAAAATCGTCCAATACAGTATTAGAGCTCTGAGAAGCGGTCTGGTGGATTAAATTGGCGAAACCGCTGGGAGGGTTCACCACTGATGAGCCAAGCCTTCCCAATATATTTTTTCATTGCAGTAAGAACAGTAGAAGTTTGTATTGTGTATAAAAGAAACATTCGTGCTTTTAAATCCTTTCATTTTATATATATAGATGGCGCGTTATTGTCTTGTGTTAATATAAAATTATATAGAGTTAAAAGAAGAGAGAAAAAAAGTAAAATTAAATATTATTTTCATCAGACGAATCCCACTGATGGTCGTCTGGTATGATGTCACATTCCACCTTGAAGTCGGACAGATGTCTTAAACGTCGCAATACATCAAGATAGTAATGTTGATTAATGATCTGACCCTCGGGCACGAATTCATAGTGTACCAATCCCTTTACATCAAAGAAAGTGATAAGAAGACACTTAAGCTTCGATTTGATCATCCTTGCTTTCTTGAATCTTGGTTCCCCAGGCTCTAGCCACTGGCTTGATTGCCTCTTAGTCTCGGGATAATATCCGTACACCCATATTCCATCTCCCGTGATAACAATTTTGAGCCAATGGGGATCAGAATTCCTTGCCATGTCAAGGAATAGCTTCAGAACAGACCTCTGCTCAGGTGACAGGTACTCGAGGACGTCTTCCCTGTTAGAAGGAGAGACTATCTCCTCCCTATAATAGTCTCTATACAGAGGTTCTAGAATGGTGTTGGCATTCAAGCTCTCGAACAACTCCTCTACCTGTTGTAAAGTGGTCTGAAGAGGCTGTTTCTTTTGGAGAGATAGATTGAGATTATAATATAATACACTGCGGCCTGTGATTGTAAAACGACACTTTAAGTTACACCGCATGAGTTTCTTTTCAACGAAAAATCAAATTTTTATTTCAAGGTGAAATATCGACTATTTCTAACCTTTTTGTATGAGGTATGAAAGGATGAATTATGAAAAGTAATAATAAACGGAAAAATAAAAGTGTCCAGGGATGGGAATCGAACCCACAGTGTTCCGCTTACCGGGCAGATGCCATGTCCACTAGGCTGAGATTGGAACAACTTATTTCAATGTTCATTCAAGATTATATAAGGTAAAGAGAGAGATTCAGTGATTTAATTGATTCAATGATTTGATTGATTAAATGATTTGATTGATTAAATGATTTGGTTGATTGATTCAGTGATTTATTTAGAGCACATTTGCTATTATTAGATTTTAAACTTGGAGAGAGATTCAGTTATTTAATTGATTCAATGATTTGATTGATTCAATGATTTGATTGATTAAATGATTTGATTGATTAAATGATTTGATTGATTAAATGATTTGGTTGATTGATTCAGTGATTTATTTAGAGCACATTTGCTATTATTAGATTTTAAACTTGGAGAGAGATTCAGTGATTTAATTGATTCAATGATTTGGTTGATTCAATGGTTTATTTGATTAAATGATTTGGTTGATTGATTCAGTGATTTATTTAGATCACATTTGTCATGATTAGATTTTTAACTTGGAGAGAGAGAGAAAAGATGAGTTATTCTAATTGTTTTAAAAGAAGACATTTTAAACGTATAAAATGTATTGATATATTGCACTCTAATATATTCGATAGGTTTGCTTAAAAGAACATCAACAGAAAAAAATATTTGCGGAAGAGTTTTGCTCGAGGCATTTGAGCTCTTGCAATTATATATATATAGTCACGACCGTCTTTCCACATCGGCCTCTGTCACGGATGCGCGCGCACAGGGAGGTCACGTGCTCGCCGGCTCCCTCGAGCCGGATTTGAACCAGCGACCTAAGGATCACCGTTGTAACATCTACAGTCGGGTAAAACACGGGCGTTGCCCGGGTCATTCGGCTAGTTATATATATGCACCACTACAGATCTATAAGCTATGCCCAAATATTTCTTATATACGCTTAATATCCCTTTCAAAACGAGAGAGAGATAAATTACAGGAGACATCAGAAACGTATTCCAATACAATAGTAAAGCGGTAGTAGATTAGCTTGGTAAAGCCACTGAGAAGGTTCACTACTGATGAGCCAAGCCCCTTCTCAGCTAATATTTCAAATCACGATATACAGAGTGAGATCAATAATGTACAGGTATGCTAAATATTTAAAGAAATACAAAAGTATAAAAAGTTGTATTTAAAATTTCTCAAAATAATCACCGTCACTATATATTATACTTGTTCCATCTTTTTTTCCAGATATCAAAACACCTCTTATAATCCTCATATTTCAGGCTTTTCAAAATATTCTTCGTATTCTCCTTTATTTGAGGTATTGAGTCAAATCGACGTCCTTTTAAAACCTTTTTAATTTTAAGGTAAAGGAAAAAGTCGTTGGGAGCAAGGTCAGGAGAATAGGGTGGCTGGGGTAGTAAAGCAATTCCGTGTTTAGCCGAATAGAGTCGTACAGTGACGGCCTTATGTGGCCGTGCGTTGTCATGATGTAAAAGCAATTTTTCTGATGCCATTTTCCGGGTCGTTTCTGAGGCACAGCCTCCCTTAAACGTCGCAATACATCAATATAGTAATGTTGATTAATGATCTGACCCTCGGGCACGAATTCATAGTGTACCAATCCCTTTACATCAAAGAAAATGATAAGAAGACACTTAATCTTCGATTTGATCATCCTTGCTTTCTTGAATCTTGGTTCCCCAGGCTCTAGCCACTGGCTTGATTGCCTCTTAGTCTCGGGATAATATCCGTACACCCATATTCCATCTCCCGTGATAACAATTTTGAGCCAATGGGGATCAGAATTAAACATTTCGACCATGTTTTTGCACATTTCTTTGCGATGCTCTTTCTGCTCATTCGTTAAGAGGTGTGGGACAAATTTAGCCGGGGATCGTTTAAGATGCAGATCATTCTTTATGATGGTTTGGAATGTTCCAAAAGAGATATACAAGTCTTTTGATAGCTCTCTGATAGTTATTCTTGGGTTTTATTTGATCGATGACTTGATTTTAAGTGCATTTTCGGGGTTTCTTATCGATAAAGGTCTGCAAGTGTGTATATCATCCTTGACGCTTGTTCGACCAGCTTTAAATCGTGCAAACCATTCAAATGTCCTCGATTGTGATAGGGCATCTTCTTTAAAAGCCTGCTTCAACATTTTAAATGATTTGGAAGCTATTTTCCCTAATTCAAAGCAAAACTCTTTGCAGACTCGCTGTTTTCAATACAGTCCATACTGAAGTTAGAAAATGTTCTGATATACTCGAGCTTATAAATTCGAAAAAAAACGTGAGCGCGTGCGTCTGTGTGATCAATATTTTTTTCTACGTGTTGATAAATGTTTTATCTATAAGGTCCTTATAGAATTATTTCATTATTCTGAATATTTTATGTGATCCAGTCTCATTCCTGGAAATTATTGACCACACGTTGTATTAAGGGTATCGGTGGAAGGATGGTCTAAACCGTTGGTTTTGACCTCTAAGACCCGGGTTCGATTCCCTCATTGGGATTTTTTTTCTGATGAAAAAATGCTGCAGTGGTCCCCGATTCTTGCAAAAGTCCAAGCCTACTAGCGAATACAAGTAAACAAACGGGGCTATGGCACATTTTTAAATGCAAAGTCGTACTGCTTTTCACATGTGTAGATATGTGGTGCACTTACAGTTAACATTGTACGGAGTGTATTCTGCCATATTGGTTATGCCATATAGATGTGCTGTGCATGCAACCAGAGATGCCGCCTCAAGAAGACTACCAATATCCCCACCGACATTCCAAACGACCGCGTGGTACCTGGTCGAGAGAAAGCGACTTCCTAATCGTGTTACTGGCGACTTCAGCAAGTTCCCATCAGATCTGGACATTCCCGGCAATGTTGCACCAGTACGGTGGCTGTAGGTACCGCTCAGGTTTGATGTGGTGTATGGTACAAGTGTGAGTGTAATGCAGCGGTGTTTATGTTTGCCTTCTTCCTGGCCCTAATGGTTATAGCCGCCCCCCTGGTGTACTTCCACACCGCTCTGGGCCAGTTCACCGCAGCCAACCCTGTCACCATGTGGCGTTGCTGTCCCGCTCTTATCGGTACGTTCAATACTCCTGCAACACTCACCATAGCACAACAGTCTACTATGGACACGTCGCAAGTGGAAACTTGGATTTCATTAGGTATAAGACAATAACGCGACATCTATATATTCTATATACAGTTACGAGCGTCATGCGTGGCCTCTGTCACGGTTTGCTTTTTTTTTTTTTTGGAATGGCGCCCTCCTATTGGTCGGCTACGATCACGCCACCTTTGTCCCCCCCCCCCCCCCCCCCCCCATTTTGTAACTATTGTGTTGGAGCGGGTCGCTCCTTAAATAAATGCATATATTAGTTAATAACCAAATGGAATCCTCTCTTTCTTTTTTCCCAGTAAGAGACGCCTACGGAAGCCAACAGTACATAGACAGATAAAGCACATAGGCTATAGTTATTAACTAAAATATGCATTTATTTAAGGCGCCAATTTATAATTGTAACAAATAGTATTTGAATCAAAACATTCAATAGGGTAAAACACGGGCGTTGCCCGGGTCATTCGGCTAGTATATATATAAGAAATAAAAGCATTAAAACACGAATACTTATTTTACCTATAACACAAATTTGAAATCATAGAAAAGAGACATTTGTAAAGTCTGTTTTATGTATAAAAGATACATTCATACTTTAATGTTGTCGTTCCTTTATTAATAATCTTTGAGAAATTCCAAGATATATGCTCTATTTAATCCAAGTAATAGTATAATTTTAAATGGAAAATTCGACCAACATTTTGAGAGTCAATATATTCATTTAATAGATTCCGCTAGTGAACGTAAAACTACGCACTTTTTATATCAACAACAACAACAAAAAGCTTTATCAATACCTTTTAGTCTTATACAGATTCTCAGAGTAGAAATGTAGAGTACGAACTTTTTATATCTCTGCAGACAGAATGTAAGCTATACCTTGCTATTATTCCTTAAAAGAATCAATTAAGTTATTAGATAAGGATTCTAGAGTTACAGAGAAAGTACCAGCTATAAATATTCTATCTCACAACAGCGCATTAAATCCAACTCGCCGAATGTCGTGGTTTGCTTGGAGGAGGAAAGCGAAGATTGAATGCGGCTGATTCCACACTAGCCCTCTCAATGATATCCTAACCTTGACATATTCTAAACATTGGTACTTTAATTTAAATATTTAATCATGTACGGTTGCTTTTGCTCTGTATGTTTATTTTTTGTATATATGGTTATATTTCTTTTTGTTTGGTTTTTCTTTCTTCTCTCTTTCCTTATTACTTCTTGTATTCTAGTTTTTGCTTTTGAAATATCTTCCTTTGCTAAATCCCGTAGAGGGGAATCATGTATAGGGCTGGATGCCCCAATAAAAAGGCTTGTGTTTGAAAGACATTAAATCCAACTGTAGTTTAAAAATTTCTACCATGTTGTATAGAGAGGACACTTGAATAATGAATGTTTCTTTTAAACATAGAACAAACTTCTACTGTCCTTAACCGAATAAGAAAAGAAAAAAAGAACATCTCCTTATCGTGCAACTGAAAGTTTCTGATGACTTGCGACATCTATTGGAATAAATATACACTATTCGTTGATTTTTAATTATTCCATAATTGGCCAAATTTTCTTGATTGATCTAGAATGGGTATTTGGCCAATTCTGTGATAATTAAAAATCAACAAATAGTTGATATTTATTATGATAGATGGCGCTAGCCATCAGTAAATTTCAGTTGCACGATAAGGAGATGCCCTTTTTTTTTCTTAATTTTTGAACCTTATCCCAGTACAATATCACATTTAACACAAAGCAATAACGCGCCATTTATACATATTAAATGAAAGGATTAAAAAGCACGAATGTTTCTTTTATACATGATACAAACTTCTACTGCTCTTACTGCGATGAAAAAATATATTGGGAGGGCTTGGCTCAACAGTGGTGAACCTTCCCAGCGGTTTCGCCAATTTAATCCACCAGAAGGCTTCTCAGAGCTCTAATACTGTATTGGACGAAT